ATTTTTCAAAATTTGAAATGTTTTGCGAGCCGCAATTTTCGATGGCGCAGTTTTCGATGAGTCATATTATTCTTAACTTGGACGGAAATGAAATTTGTTACAACGTTGCACTTAGTCTTTCATATTTGTCGTCAGTAATTTCAAAGACATTTTGAAACATTCGGAATGATAATAATTTTTTAAAATATACTAGCACAAAAATGAAAAGGAAATTTGGATACATTTATCGAGAGCCACAAATAATCCTTCAAAGAGCCGCAGGTTGGCCACCCCTGGAATATATAGTAAATAAACATTTTTTGTCACTTATTACACGTCGGTATAATTATACAGATTCTCTACAATTTAATTTCATTACACTAATGATATAAAATAGTAAATGTATTATGAGTATAGAACATTTGTAAATTCAGCACCACTGTTACATAAAACTTTTATACCATCATTATACTGAAAGAATTACATACATTTCAAAATAGCTCCGTACTTACCTAAAAATTTGCTATTTTATAGACATATCATTGTTTCTCCAAACGCGCAAGTAATTTTGCTATCGAACTATATTTAATCCAGTCATGCAAGGCTCACTAATATCCCTAATCTTAAACTATAAAGTAGCTAATGTTAAACTCGGTACAATAATGACGAGCTATAGTTGTGACGCACTTTTATTTTCAGTATCATAAACCTTTCTTATATTCTGAATAGTGTTGAATATTCAATTTAAGTACAATCGAAATTGGTACAGTTAAGGATCATTGAATACAAAACAAGCACAACATTATAACTTTCTATAGTCACAAAAAATGACCAGTTGCTTATTTTTCTTAACATTGCAACAGAGAATTCATGTTTGACGACCGAATAAATCACAGTATAAGGGATTAGAATATCTAAATGTCACAGTAATGGAATAAGAAAGAATCGTAAACTATTCTAACAAAGAATTCAAGAATCTAACAGCGTTACATAAAACCCCGTGATCAGTTTCCTCTATTTGCGCGGGAGTCCTAAAAATTCTAAAACGGTCCGTGCAGATAAGACAGATGTTGTCTGGGGCTATCGAAGATTTTCACGACCGAAAGTGATTCAGGACACGTATCGAATTACTGTGCACGAGCTCGTTGTCTGTTCGGCGAAGAAGAATCTCGTGATCGAAGCGATCATCGACCTTACGATTCCGGAAGTCTTGCAGCCTGTGACGCGAGCGGAATCCTGGTATCGAGGAGGTGCTTTGCGGTGGGTGTTAGGTAAAAGCTTGTCCTGGGGTTGAGTTCCCTTTTACGACTGCTTTCACCAGCTTACGGCGGTTTGGGGTTGCACTTTTCAAAGTGGACCATCGACACAATGGCCCTGCTTACACGTTGTGACGTAAAGACGTGGAAAAGTAGCGTTGAATTGTCAAAGCTTTGCCACGGACTACTCCGTCAAACTTTGTAAATATGATATGAACCCCTTTGGTGAAATTTTCTTTATACCCTCATTGAATCCTGACCAAATACGTGTATTTTCAACGATCCTCCCCGTAGGAAACGATGTCGTATAATGATATTAAAAAGATTCGTATGAAAGAGGGAGGAGAGTTCGCGATTTATACTGTGGTCTTTCTTACCTCCATTATACGATCGCAATAATGGAGACCCGGAAAAAGCCAGAGCGTTATTATAGGGAACCGACGGTGTAGGGATTTTGGCAGTTCTCATTTGGCTCGCCTGAATATTGTCGTAATGAAGGCGACCCGGTGTTTGATAATAATTGGAAGGTATGGCGTTGTTAATTTTTAACGCGACACTTCCTCGCGATTGCTGTAATTTTGTGTGTGCTATCGATTGTTGGAACCATTAAGGATAAATATTTGTATGAGATATTAAATACACTTCAATACTTTGTAATTATACAGTACACAGGATGTCCTGGAAATAATACCAAAACCAAAAAAGTGATGATACTGAACAATTTTTTTTTTGCCAAAATATTGGTTGAGGTTTTGTTTTTCGAAACAATTGCGCTTTTCAAACGACAAGAGGAGGGGAAGAAGCAAGAGGACAGCCAGAGGGAGAAGAGGAAGAGCAGGAGTAGAAGAAGCGGCGAAACAAAAATGTAACGAGGCATATTTTCATTATGTTGATTAGCCTTCTTTTTCTTTGGTTGTTATGCCTCGTTACGAGGATCCTCCCGAATTGCCGGCCCCATTCCTCCGCCCAAGCAGACCCCCTCGCCGCTGGGGCAAGTATGAGTGTGAGTGTGTTTTTTTCTTTTTCTCTCTTCGAGCGTTCTTTTTTTTCTCGCATTTGCGCGCCATGCTTTTGCCCTCCCCCCTTCTACCCTCCAGCCACCAAGAAGGAGCATCGTTGTCCCCATCGCACATGACAGAGTAGACATTTCTGCAGAAGAAAGCATCAAACGAAGTTACAAAATCACCTTTGCTTTCTTTTTATAAACAAAATAGTTCAGCAAAACATGCGCCGCTGTCAGTGGTACTCAATGTTGGCGCGGCGCGGCAGTCGCGAAATAATTATTTCGTTACTCCAAGACAATAGGCAGGCTTTGTAACTTCACTTGATGCTTTCTTCTGCAGAAATGTCTACTCTGTCATGTGCGATGGTTAGATTTTCGCCTAGACCCATAGTTTTTTAAATAAATTGAAAAATATCAGAAAAAATTGGTGCGTTTTTGGTGTCTTTCTTACTTTGATCATCATTTAAACATATTTAAATATTTACAATGTAATAACAATTTATATAGTTTTATTCAGGAAAATTCACAGATTCTTCTCGTGTAAAAAGCCACGGAATAGCTGCTACGATCAAAGCAAAAAAAGTTTCCAAAGTTGAAAATTTGCAATTTTTTTTAAAATTAATTTTCTCAAAAACTGTACGTCCTAGAGAAAAATGGATTTCAGATTCGTATTCACCTCGCAAAAATCTATAAGAATTTCATAGTAGCCGTTACGAAATCCAAAAAAAGTCAAAATTTGTTGTACAGTGTAACCACAGATAAAGGATCCCAATTCGAAGGAGCGGTTTTCAGGGAGCTTACGAAGTTAATAGGGTGCAAGCATATTCACACAACGGCATACCATCCGGCCTCAAATGGCATGGTGGAAAGATGGCACCGTTCCCTGAAAACTGCAATTATGTGCCACGCGAAGAGTAACTGGGTCGAGATCCTCCCTACTGTATTGCTCGGATTAAGGAGCAGTTTTAAAGAGGATATTGGAGCTACTGCAGTAGAATTGTTATACGGGGTTCCTCTCAGGTTGCCGGGAGAATTTTTCATCGATACGCAGGACACAGACAATTTTTATTTAGATAAATTTCGAGATCAGATGCGACAGATTCGACCAAGACAGACGGCACATCACAGCAGACAGAGACATTTTGTACCCAAAACGTTACATAATTGCACACATGTTTTTGTTAGAGTAGATGCGGTAAAGAGACCACTGGAACAACCATACGAAGGACCATTTAAAGTATTACAGCGTGTTACAGACATTACTTATTTGATAGATTATAAAGGAAATCCGATAGTTTTCTCCACGGAACGCCTAAAGCCGGCATTTGTTGAGTTAGAACGTCAAAATGAAACACAACCAAAGACATATAGTAGGTTAGAATCGTCTGCTTTCCCTGACAGGTCAAGCGACTTGGAGGGGGGTAGTGTGGCGACACCTACTTCCGGCGTAAAAGCGCAACGGAGAGTGCATTTCCGCGCGTAGAGTCACATTCTCTCGTGGAACTCTTAGGCGAGTTGACGTGTTTTACAGTTATTGAGTTTACTTAAAACCTTGCGATTTTTGTAGTAGTACGCGGAACGTATATACAAACTATTTAGCCCGCACAGTTTTTGTTATAATTAATTGTTATTAAATATATTTGTTAAATATAGTTACCCAGTTTAAATACAGTGAACTTATTTACCCCTTTCTCACGTCGGTAAAGTAGAGTTTTTCAATTTTCTGAAGCAGAACTCTACAGTGGTACGCAACGGTGCGCCCTCTCGCGGAATTTCTAGTGGAAGTAACATAACCCGTTACGGCGGTCGGTAAGAACGGTCGCCGCTCCGGGAACGCGAACGCGAATGCCCTCTGCTATCCTGCTTCTGTAGCTCGGCTGTAACCATGGCCGCAATCTGCTTTACTAGTTGATCAACGTCGGAAATGGACGCTAACGGCTAATGGTGGCGCCCTAGAGTGAGGCGTGATTTCGCCTATTTTATCGGCCAGGGCTGCTAACTTCTCCATTTCCATACCATCCTGAGCCGCTAGAACCGACTGAATAGTAGTAGGCAGCCTACTTGCCCACAACGTTTTCAGCAACTCCTCTGGTACATCCGAGCCCGCCAAAGTTCGAAGATGGCGGAGAAACTGAGAAGGCGTCCTGTCCCCCATTTCCTCGTGTTCGAGGAGCCTTTGTATTCTCCTCTTCTTCGATGTGGAAAGCCTTGAAATTAGCTGTGTCCTCAATTTCTCATATTTCCACTCCGGTGAGGGGTTTAATAGAATGTCTTCTATTTCTTCGGCAGTTTTGGCGTCTAATTGCGCTACAACGTGCCAGTATTTGGTCTTATCTTGGGATATGTTCCTCAACGCGAATTGCGCGTCCAACTGCGCAAACCATAACGCAGGTCGCTCCGGCCAGAATTTCGCAACGTGCACCGCCACTGCATTATTTTCTGCAGTTCCTGCCCCTTGGTCGACGCTTGGATGTCGCGCAACGTACATTTTTATATTCGGACGTCGGGGTCACCACTTGTGGGGAAGTATAGTAACTACGCTTGCCGTTGTGTACGAGATCTTTATTATGACTGAAATCCCATGGCGTCTCCCGCCGTTGGAGTCATACCAACCTGCGAGAAGCATGAGTACAAGCCCGAAGGTTTAGGCTTGCGATACCAGCACCACACTAGGAACTATGTGTCCCCTACAAATCGCAACATTACAACCTAAGAACTTAAAATAACTAAAATAGGAACATTTCCAGGGGACGTGGATGCCTCTGTAGCCACAGGGATTTAGGTTGTGTTCCGAAATGCTGCTTTGATATTTCGGGCTGCTTGCTAAGTTAATTTTGTGGAGAGATGAATCCCTTCAATGATTTGAGCGAGCGCGGCAAATCTACACAATACTTCTTGGGATTTGTACATATTCCAGCCGTAATTTTTTCCTAATGTGAAAGTAGGAAGCAAAATAAAAGGAGCCGTCAACTTCGGCTGCTTAACCTCTACTTGCTTTCTTCAAGACAATGCAGTGGTCTCCTACATCTTCTTTGCAAGAGAGATCTGTATGTCTTGGAACGGCACCTTCCACTAGAGATGATGGTACAGTACCCACATGAACCTGGGCTTATGTGGTAAGTTACTGGCTTCATTATATTTATTAACCTTTTCAGGAATTTCCTCTGCGTATTTATGAAGGAATCTTTTTACAGGATTCCAAAAGGCATGCAAGGGAGTCGGTATAAATAACAAGGGGCATACTTTGGTATTCTTCAGCCAAGTCTAGGATCCCGCTCATTGCTGGGCATTCAGCTATAAAGGCAGATGCATGAGCATTGAGCAAAATGTGCGTCATTGACTATTGGGCAGAACCATGCTGCTCTTGTGGAAACTCAGTCTTGCAAGTTGGAGCTATCTGTATAAATTGGTATGTTCTCTTTTTACTTGCAAGAAAGTACATTTTCGAATCCAAAATTGATTTCCGTTGCTTGAGATAAGACCTGTTTTGTTGTAGTGTCGAGAACTGGCTGCAGAGAAAGCCTATAGTGCAACTTAAGCCAGCAATCAACATTACCCACCAACACTGGCTTAAGAGGCCAAATTTGCTTAATCACAGTAGTCAGCAGGCAGATCCCAATTCCAAGGTTTAAGGCTGTAAATGCTATTGAGGTAGTTTTCAATGTTCGTATTTAGCAGATGGTTAGAGTTAGTCTAGACTTTAACAATATGCGTTTATCCTAGATATTCTGCTCGTGCAGAAATTGGTAGAAGTGTAGCCTCCGCGAGGATCACGTTTTTTGGAAATGATTTTCTTAGACCTAAAGTTAGGCATGGGCAACTAACTGTACTGCCTCGAGTTTGTAAATAGGGCAGTAGTTGTTTTGAGCAGTAGTTGTGACATGAAGGCAATACTCAATTCTGGACCTAATAAGGCCCCTGTAAATTGCCAAAAGTATGCGTGGATCGACAGTCCACCAGATTTCGCGGAGGAACTTGATCACATTGTGAATTTTGCGGTGGTTGCGCATACTTCATTTACATGGTGATCAAATTTCAATTTCTGGACGAAGAGAACGCTGTTGATTATTGTTGTGGATGTCAGGATATCGGAGTATTTTTACTAGTCAGTATTCTTGGAAGTAATTCGAGCTCTGTGCTGTCTATAAATGTGTCGAATGGACTTGACTGTGATGTCCAGAAGAAAGTGATCCAAATCCCAAGGGTCGGCAAGTTGATGCGATAAAATTTTGTCGGAAAAGTTGCAAGGACAAATGATTAGGTCCAGGTTACTCTCGTATTGGTTAAATCGATCAACGTACATGGAGGTGTCGGTGTTGTGTATAATGCAGTCATTTTCCTCCACAACGTGGAGGAGCCTTTCACCTGAAGTGGAGCCACTTTACGCATTGCTATTATTATTATCGCTAGAACTATTATTATCCTTATTACTATTATTATCATCATTATAACTGCTATCATTACCCTTATTACTATTTTTATTATCGTTAGAACTATTATTATGAACTGCACTTTATGCCTTGGAACAAAGGCAGCAGTACCTGCCTTCTGCAAACTATTTGAGACAAGAAGGTTAGCCTCCTTGTCATTATTGAAAGCAATTTCAGCCATATTAAACCCTCTTGGCTGCATATTTTGGATACCCAAACTGAGTTTGCTAATAGACTTGGCAATACTCAGCATCAGTTCTACGTTTTCATCATTTATCCTCTGATAGTGTAACAATTACTGATGCTGGTCCCATGTGGCTGGCCGGATACTTCGGGGGTCTATCAGATGGCTCCACAGGACTAACATATGAAAATTTCCCGCAACGTTATTTGATTTGGAGTAGGTTTTAAGAGTATTATTATTCCATTGATTAATATTGTCTTGCTGAATACCTCCAATGGTCCTTAGAACGTATTTTTTTTGGGAGGTATTCGCAGGCAAGGATGGAAATTTAACTGGGCTAATAGCAGTAGGGGATGAGTTTTTCTGTTTCACTTGTTTATTTATACCAAGATTTATCTTGGCCTGGGAAAGAGCCTCATATTTGAGGATTTGAAAGAGGATTTGATACTGACGTCCCTATGGGCTAGAATATAATTCACCTCTACATTAAACTTCATCTCCTGACATTCAGGATGAAATGTGTGATGTTCCCCCTTGCAATGAAGACACTGTCCGGTTGGGGAACAGTTGACATGATCTTCATTTTTACTTTGCCCACATCCAAAACAGACTGCTCGACATCTACATTTAATAGCAGTATGTCCATATCCTCCATAGTTTAAACATGTTCTAACTCTTTCAATGTATGGTTGAACCGTTCTATTAAGTAGTCCAAAAAGCTGCACCTTTTCAGGGACCACCGATCCTTCAAAAGTTAAAAGGACCATCTTTGATGGTACCCATACAGTTTCTTCTGCATCAGTGTTAATACTTTTCCTGTTTAGCTTTTTGGCAAAGAATATTTTACAAGGGAAGGAGGTCAAATCTATAATCTCTTGCATATTAATGTCAAGGCTTATACCCCTGATCAGGCCTTTCTTTTCCAATGTGTTCTTCCGATGAACCACAAAACCTGCACCTAGGTAGGCTTTTACAATATTTAGCCGTGTGCCCAAACCAAAAGCATTTATAACAAAACCTTAATTGGTTCAATATAGACCTCAATTTTCATATTGTAAAGGCCATGGACTTTGATGAAGTCAGGCAAAATTCCACCTTCAAAGGTAATAAGGACAGTTTCACTAGGAACCCATTCTGCTTTGCCACTTTCACTATTATATTTTCTTCTATTAAGCCTCATGGCCTTCAATATTTTGCAGGGAGATATAGAATTTGAAATAATATCTTCCACGTTTAAATCTAAATCAAAATTTTTTAAAATGCCTCACCTCTGCGTTCTAAAATAAGGAATGAAGGCCCTAATGCCTTTCTGCTTACAAACAGGATTCAAGACAAAACTGTTTGCTGCATCTCCAGTTTTAAATTTAATTTCTGCTTTGCCCCTACCTGAAGGGATAACCTCATCAGCCTTAGCCTTTAAGGCACAAATGATTTTTGTCAAATATAACATTAAATACCTGAGTAATGCTTTTTTCAACCTTTGACACATCTACATTTTGTATCATTGATGTGGATTTAACAAGCATTGGTTTGGCCTGTCCATCTATCTGCTTAACTTTAAAAGCTTGAGCCATTGTCAGTTTTGGAAGGTATGAAAAATTCTTTAGTGTAGGAGTTATTGCTGCTTTATTGCTCAAGTCATCAACGATAGATTTTGCTGAGAGGCCTTCAAAAAACATTTGCCCTCATAAGCCATTACTTCCCTTATTCTACGATTCTTTTGGAATATTAAACATTCTTTAGAGAAGGTCCTGTGCTCCCCATCACAGTGCAAACAGCCTTCAGCCTTCGATTTATCACATTTATGATTTTCCTACTCCCTACCACCACATTTTCCACAGATTCTATTACTACGGCAAAATTTTGTTGAGTGCCCATACTTGTAGCAATTAAAATAAGTATAAACTGGCTCAACATATCTACAGGAATATTAAAAAGTCCAAAAACTCTAACAAAGTCGGGCAACGTAGTCCCTTCAAATGTAATGAGCACCGTCTCACTAGGTACCCACTCCCAAGGGTTAACAGAATTACCCCTTATCTTCTTGTTTTGTCTAATGGCCGTTTTAATTTTACAAGGGGAAGTAGCCTCCTTAAGCATATCATCCATAGTTAAATCAAGAGGTACCCCCTTAATTACACCAGTGACTTGTATTTTGTTTTTAGCAATGAAGGGCATAAACCCTACCTTCCGAACACCCTCTTCTTTTACAAATTTATTTGCTAGTTCCCCATTAGGGAACCTCACCTCAAATTTTCCCCAGCCTTTAGGTACTATCTCATTAGCACCAACCTTTAATCTATTCAAAACCCTTGCCAGCGATACCATATTATGAATTTTTGATTTTCTTAACCCTTTCGGTACGGACGCATTCTGCGTCGCGCCGTCCCTGCTGACCGAGCAGCCGCGGCAAACGTCCGTACTTGCGGAACAACTACAAGCGCCCGTCAGACGCACAATACCACGCTATCTTACGCAGAGCGAGTGCAGTCGCTCGTAAAAAAAAAATGCTTAAGAAATTATAACATAATGCAATTACAAAATATAATTTAATAATGTAAATGAAACACATAAACATCCAGATTTTATAATTTAATAATGTAATTTTGTATGATAAGTTTGAAAGCACGGGTATACACAAAGGCCTACGTCACATGTTTTACATTGATAATGTGATTGTCGTTGAACACCATTCTTAGTACAAACAATACACTTTCTCAGTGCACATTTTCGTTTTGTTTTCTCGTTAGTGTAAATCGCTGGGAAATGTCTACCAGTAAGTCTCAAAGGATATTTATCCGGAGATTTAGGACCGCTTTGTCTAACATCGTTTTTATGATATTTTCGTAAAATTTGCCGTATATTCTGCTCATGAAGAGTCGTGACCTAAGTCACCGCTCGTACAGAGCGGGCGTTAAATGTTGGGTGACTATAGTCACCGCTCGGGCCGAAAGGGTTAAAGCAACCTCCATCGTAATCTCCACTGAAGCATAACCAATGTGCTAAGCTGGAAATAAAAATTCTTCTCCTGATTTCTTGTCTTCCACAGTAGAAGCCTTCTTGAAATTTATCCTTTCATCCATCAAATTTAAACTTTTCCTTTTTAAAATCTTATTCGCCACGTGCGGGTTCTGGGCCTGGCATCCCTCACCCTCCATCATGGCTGCGTCCATAACCCCCAACCTCGAAGCGCAGTATAAGAAAGCACAGTAGGTTCACTCCGTGTCGGCACCTTTGATCTCATGACTAAAAGATCGCCATGTTGCTGGTTGTGCGCGAGCTCTAATTTGAAAGACACAAACAGAAAGAAAGAATTTTACTAAATATTTTAAAAGAAAATAAGACTTTAGAGTAATAACTCACTTGATGGGAAGAAAGTTAGAGCTATTGTAATTATATGGTACATAAATTATTGTGTATATTTACAAATAATTAACACCTTTGTGTTTATTTTGTTGTACATATGTATTAATTTATTTTTAATTAAAATACAGTTTCATCAAAATCATTGTATAAGAATACAATTATTATATACAATAATTAATAAATACGTGCTTCCTACGTCGTTATAAACGACGTTAGAAAAATATAATCTGATAATCATAATATTGACAAATGTGTATCCATCTTTGATCCATCAGTCATAATGTGATTTAGATGCTGAATTCTTCTTTTTCTTTCTTACTTTCAGTTTATTGATGTATACCTAAAAATATTTAGGAATATTAATTAATTAATATAATGAATAAATAATAAATTTATGCACTCTCCCTTAAAAGCTATAATAAATACAAGTTAAGTAACATAATGAACTAACCTTTCTACATCTTTCGGGAATCGAAATAAAGTTTCTTTTACTCCACGTTTTTCGCTACTTGCACTTTTATAGCCTTCTATGCAACATCAGTATCCACCTCTTTCGTTCATTTTATTTCACACTTTATATCTCTATATATTTATTTATTTCTTTAAGAAGGTACGCGACAAAAAAAAACGAGCACATGTGCTTTTACCAGCTGTTCACAACCGCCATGTTG